GTATTAGTATATTACCGAGTATGATAGTCTAGTACGCTGCTAATCTGTTATGCAGCTATGCTAAATTGACAATTGCTCATATAGTCATATTAGTCAATCACTCATGTAGACATAACTCATATCTAATTAAGTAATTTGTATTTATGTACTAATCTACTAGTCAACTATATCATTTATAAGTTTACACGATTACAAGTGTATTGCTTATAGGTACAGCTAAACTGATATAAATATAACCATATAACAAATCCGTAGTACTTCTAACTCTCTAAGATATGACATCATTATTTATTGAACAATTTTCGATTTTTTATTAATCGCAACGCCTAGAAATTACACGCTAACCGATTCACATTTTATAATTTAAAGAACTTAATATTTTAATGTGTGTGTTAAAAAAAATTATAAAAGCTGATGTTATGAAGGTGAATATCGTTTTATCGGGATCCGAGAAATGTAATTAGTTTTTTTTTTAAGTCATGTAATTAATTAATTGTATAAAAGTTTGTTTAATGTTATTAAAATAAAATTAAAAATTTTGATTTTTACAAAGTGGAAAATTAATTTCATTTTTTTGGTTGACAATTTCAACAAAATATGGTGGGAAATTTCCCTCCAAAAACCAAAAGGAAAAACACATTTTAGATTTAGAATTTAGATATTTTGATTCTTTAATAATTAAATAAACATGTGGTTCATATATTATGCAAAAGAGAAAAAAAAAAAAAAAAAAAAAAAAGTGAAACGTGAAACTGTGAAAGACTGAAAGGCAATTAGGTTCTTCATTCATCCTCTTCATTCATCCTCTTCATTCCACAGCATTCACCGTTCTTCTTCTTCATCCTCAAATCGAAGCGTTGAATCCTCACTCACTCTCAAGTTCTCAACTCTCAAGCTCTGAACTCTTAGCCTTCAATAGCTCAAAGGTAAATTTTAGTTAATTGTTTTTGTTTTCGTTTCGTTTTTTCGATTTTTTTTTCGATCTCTCCATTCTCGTTTTTTTTTCATTCTCCAGTTCTCCATCTTCAAATCTTCCTCTCCTTCAAGCCGTCACTGCTCAAAGGTAATTTTATGTTAATTTTTTTGTTTTCATTTCGGTTTTATGTTGCTGATTCGTTGTTTGCAGGATTCGCATGTCTTTATTTTTTGATTTTTACTTCTGATTTGTTCATATAATTTCATATAATTTCTGATTTGTTCATATAATTTCTGATTTTTTGATGTTGTTCATGTAATTTTTAATTTTATTGTTCTTGTTGTTCATTTAATTTCTGATTTTTTAATTTTATTGTTCTTGTTGTTCATTTTTTGTTATATCTATTTGTGAGGTGTTCTGGCCTTACCAGCTTTGGCTATGCTCAGTTCTGATCAGGGTTGTGGTTGTAGTACCATGAGCAACAATTGAGTTGATTTGGTTACCTTATTCATGCTCGTGGTTTCTTTTCGTGTTATTAATTGTGCTTGGTTTTTTTCAGGCTGCTGTGTTGTTGCTGGTCTGCCTTTGTGACTGTTTGCTGTTTGTTGAGCATTTAAAATGTATGGCTTTGTCTATAATGCTCTATTAGTCTTCAAATATACTGAATGCTATCCTTTGTTCTATCAGCTGCATTGTTCTCTCATTAGTGTTTCTGTTTATGTGGGTTAATGTTGAATGCTAGCAGGATTTTTTGATTTAAGTTTGGGTTTTGTTTTGTTGCAAAAGTGCAAGTGCATTCAGATAGGAGTTGTCTAATAGTGTTTAGTATATTTTAGGACTGAATTGTAGATGGACTACCTCAGCTTAGAGCATGTAGTACTAGCTAGGGTCTGTCCTGTGCTGCTGCTGTTCTAATGTCTGGCCAGATCTGCTAGATGTACAAGGCTATATTGTAGGATCTGCTGGGTGTTTTCTGCCCTGTTCAGAGCAGAGTCTTTCTGGCCATGGTTTGTGCTGTCCTAGTTGATGTCTCTGCTGCAGGCTGGGTGCTGGGGTTGGTTGCTGCTGGTTTTCTAGGGTATTGCAGCTGTGGTTTTGCTGTCGTCTTGTGTTAGCTGGGCTGTGTTGTCTGTCTGTTGCTGGGCTAGGTTGCTGGTGTGCTTTGCTTGAAGCAAGCAGGTCCGGAGCTGCTGTGTTAATTTGCCTTTTTTTTTATTTGCCCTTAATTTGCCTTTTTTTTCACTTGATTTATACTGTTGTGTTTTTGTTTTTTCAGCAATGGAGCAAGAGTTTATTGGTTTTGATGAGGATTCTACTGTAAAGAATCAAGATTCTACTGTTCAGAATCAAGATTCTACTCAACGTACCACTAGTGGTAGTAAGCGTGGACGAACATCAGATGTTTGGAGGTATTACACCTTTTTTGATAAGATGGTTGGTCTTGCTCCGATAAAATATGCTCGATGCAATGTTTGCGGTAATGAATATAAAACTCCAGGTAATGCTGGTACTTCAACTTGTAAAGCTCATACTAAGACATGCATGAATAAAAATCCACACCATCCTGGAAATCATGAAAGTGGTGTTGAGCTCCTATTTAATCAAACACGTCATTTACAATTGCTTGCTAGAGCTATAATTTTGCATTCCTATCCTTTAAGTGTTGTTGAGCATCATGGCCTTAGGGAAGTTTTTACGAATTTGAACCCCAACGTGAATCATGTGTGTAGAAACACTATTTTGAAACATTGTATTGATGAGCATGATAAGTTTAAGTCTTTGTTGTTGCAATCTTTTTCGGGAATTGAAGGTAGAGTTAGCTTCACTTGTGACTTGTGGACAGCATGTACTAATCGAGGTTATCTTACTTTAACGGCACATTATGTTGATAAAAATTGGTGTCTTAGGTCTAAAATTCTGAATTTTAGATATTGTGGTCCTCCTCATACTGGTGTTGAGGTAGAAAAATTTGTGTTAAAACTTATTGGGGAGTGGAACCTTCAGGGTAAAGCTTTTGCAATGACTGTTGATAATGCTCGATCCATGGATGTTATGGTTAACCTTTTGAAGAAAGATTTAATGTTGACTTCTCCTCTTCCTTGTAATGGTAAATTTTTTCATATTCGATGTTCAGCTCATGTCTTGAACATTATTGTTCAAAGAGGTTTAAAAGAAGTTGATAGTAGTGTTCAAAAATTGCGTGAGGTTTGTAAATATATTGATTCTTCAGATTCTAGACTCACTCAATTTGAGCATGCTCTTCATGAGGTTAACTGTGTGTTTAATGGAAAGTTACGTCTTGATGTTGTGACTCGTTGGAATGCCACATATACGATGATTCGAAAAGCTTTGGAAGCAAAGGAAGCCTTGAAATTGGTTATTGATAGGTTTATAGGTTATGAATTCAAACTTTCGAATGATGAATGGGATACCCTTACTAAAATATGTAATTTCCTAAAGCCATTTCATGAAATCACTGTGTTATTTTCTGGTTCAGAATATCCTACTGCAAATTTGTATTTTGCTAGTGTTTTAAAAATTGAGCACACAATAAGTAAAGCCCATATAGATCCTAAACTTGCACCCATGGCAAAAGTTATGCTTGAAAAGTTTGAGGGCTATTGGGATGAATATAGTTTGATCCTATCAATTGCTATTGTTCTTGATCCTCGTTATAAGCTTGTTCGAGTGATGAAGATGTTAAAAGTGCTTTATGTTGATGAGGCATGTGTTGAAAAGGCGAAGGTGATTAAAGATGCTCTTTTGGAGTTGTATAACTTTTATTCTTCTTTGTCTTCCGGTTTTACATCAAGTACAAATGCTCCACCCTCCATCCCAGCTGTTATCGAAAATTCAAATAGTCACTTGGATGATGATATATTCAAGGTAATCAATTTCTGATTATTGTGGTTTACAAAATTAATAATTTTATGTTTTAATTTTATTATTTAATAAAAGCATTTTGTTTGAACTTTTCTAGTATGTTGATAATGATGATGATGAGGAGGATGACACATCAAATCGGCCATCGATGGAGATTAATTCTTATTTGTGTACTCCTCGACAACCAATTTATGAAGGGCAGAAGTACGATGTTCTTAAGTATTGGGAATCTCAAAGTAGTGTGTACCCCATATTAGCTGTTATGGCTAGGGATGTTTTGGCCATTCCTATTACATCGGTAGCCTCAGAGTCTTCTTTTAGCATGGGTGGTCGTATTTTAAACAAGTATAGGAGTGCGCTTTTGCCTAAGAATGTTGAGGCGTTGGTGACCACACAAAATTGGTTACGTGGTTATGATTGTGATATTGAAGAAGACGTCCTTGAAATTGGTAAAGAAGTGATAGATGAAAGTTTTGCATCTAATTAAGAAGACATGGATGTTGTATTGTAGTGAACTAGTGATGCTTAATATATATTGTGTTGCTTCATTGCTAAAATGTTTTAATCTCATAGAACAAGTATTAATAGTTTTAGTCACATTACATATTGATATGTTGTTCCTTTTTTTTATCTCGAGTTATTGGTTATTATTTATGTCCCGCTAAATATTCATCTTGACCTGCAACCGACTCACTTCGTAAATGATCTGCATCGACCCACACTGACCCACCCAATAACCACTCCTAGTAGTAAGTAGTTTGTAAACGGTTCGATTTATAAGGATTCGGTTCATAAACAGTTCGGTTTATAAATGGTTCGGTTTATAAACGGTCCGGTTTATAAACGGTTCGGTTTGTAAACGGTTCGGTTTGTAAACGGTTCGGTTTGTAAACGGTTCGGTTTATAACGGTTCGGTTTATAACGATTTTTATGCCAGTTTAAACGGTTTCGGGTTAGAAACGGTTCGGTTTATTTTCGGTTCGGTTTCCTTTCCAGTTCGGTTTAGATTTGGTTCGGTTCTAAAACGGTTTAACATTACTCGGATCGGTTCGGTTTCGGGTTTACTAAAATGCGGTTCGGGTCGGTTTTCGGTTTCAAAAAATCGGTTTTTAATCGGTTCGGTTTGAATCGGTTCGGTTTCACCGGTTCGGTTCGGTTTTTGACAGTGCTAGCAATTAGGCATGATGTGTTAGACGAAACATTTCACCGTCGATTTCTTCACTTGCTTTTTGGCGGAATCCTTGCGAATCACCATTTTGGGTACTTGTTGATGCCGGCGACGAGACAGTGACCGTAGCGGCGGTCGTCTTAGAAGTTGCGCGCCATCACGGCGTTGCGCCCGGCGTAACGACCTTGAAGCAGGATTACGGCTTTCCCTGGTTTGAGAAACTTCACCATTTTTAGGGTTTTCTCTCTCCTCTCGAAAGGGGGCTGGGTTCTGTTTTCGGTCTTTTTACCCATTTAGATCGTTTCAGTTTTCACCTTTGAGCTACCTAGCAGCACCACTCCCCTCTCTCCTCTCCTCCACTAATGCGTTCTCTGAATTCTTCATTGAAACAACTTGTGAGCTTTCTCTCCTATATTCATCATTTTGTGAGCTAAGATTATTTATATTACTACTATTATTTATAATCTTGGAATCAAGTTTACAATCTAGTCAATTGTAAATTTAATTGTCAGTATAGTCAATTTAGGGTTCTTCTGTGCATTATTGAACTACTATTTGTCATAAATTCTAAAACTATGAAAGATTATAATGAGTAATTCCGTTGCTTGAATTTTGCTATTCATGTTCTTAGATGAATTTAACGAAATTTTTGGAGCTTACTTTGATAATTGAGTCAATTTGGTTGCTAATGTGCAGCAGGCTTTGGTTTAAACTACCCATTCATGTCAGAACAAAACCATGAAAATGAACCTATTCTCCCTGGGCCTGGGGCGGCTGCCCCTCCTGCCAGTGATCTGGGATGGGCCCGTCCTCGACATCACCGGAGTTTGCTTGCTTCACATAAAATAGGTAGGAAATATATGCTTGCATATATTATAAACGAATACTAATTGAGTTGTGAGTTTAAGAGTTAGATTCTCTTTCTTTCAACCCATACTTCGGATATTAGATGAAATGTGATATTTGCTTATGGTAGGATAGTTTGATTATGAAAGAGAAGTTAGTTTTTGGCAGGTTAACTTCTCTTGTGCTTCTAGGAAGTCGAGGGTTTTTAACTATGATATGCAAGAAAAATGATGTGGCATTCATGAATTCTTATTTAATAATTGCTGTACAACATAAATGCTTACGCAAATTCAACTCTCTCTTCAGTGAAAAAGATGCAATCTACATATTGCATATGTTGAGATATGCCTTTACGATTGCATATGCATTAAATTTTGAGTCAAATGCAATATATGAACATGTATGAAAAAAATATCATGAAAACTTTAAATGAGGTACCAAGTGTATGAAAACATCAATTGAGGTACCAAAGTTTTATGTGATATCCTTCTCTCAATTTGTAATGTGAGTCCAAGAATGATTACTTAGTTCTCCGTAATAAATTGTGAGAGAATGATAACTAATGCTGGTGTGACTTTTCGTTCTCTTTTTTATTTACCCACTTGTTTTTGTTATTATTTTTTTTAAAATAAAATTGTGGGTTATCATTTTTGTTGTTACTGTTTGCTTAAAGATGTTGGTATTGATATCTGATGTTACTAGTATCTTTTTCCTATAACGTGCATGTAGGGCATTGCCTGTCTGATTGGATTATCAATGAAAACAAGACTAAATGCTTCAAGTGCATATCAGACTTGAAGTCTTGGGATGAGTCAGAGGCCTATTGTAAGGACCATAGAGGACACTTAGCATCTGTGTCATCGCTTCAAGAGTTGAAATTTGTTCAAGACCTATGTAGAATTAATGTTGATGGTTGCTGGATTGGAGGACGAGGACAATCTACTTCTGGGCACGGTTGGATGTGGTCTGATCATAAATCTCTGCATAATGACTCCTTTTTACCCAAGGTGCAGCATGTATCAAATTGTGGCAACCTGTCCTGCAATAACGGAAGTGATTCATGTTCTTTGTTGTCCGATGGGGCCGTGCCCATTAAAGCTGTAGGATGCAACCATTCTCATGCTTTCATTTGCACAGTTGATACAGGTATGGCTTGACTCTGTCTTGTCAATTTTCTCTTGTCTTGTCCTGTGTTAGCCTTGCTCAGGAATATTCTTTGGAATTGCATTGGTAGAAGGGTATAGAGGATAATTAGTTACCCTCAAATAGTCAAATGCTCTACATAGTCTTTAAAAATGTTTACTGCATAATTTAAAGTAATTTTGAAATAGACAACAAATATTACATGCCATCTTATTGTAATGAAAAATCATAGTCACACCAATACAACTCACTATTTCAAACTATAAAAAAACCACTGTGTGACTGCCAAAAGTGCTTACATCATGGTCTAAGTGTCTAACCAAATGCAACAAACAAATGAAAGCCACACATAACTTCACCTTAGTTGTACATTCTATCCAGAATTCCCAAACTCCATGAACATGACTAAAACAAGCATGTAGGTTTTACATTAAAAAGGCACCATATGCCAGAAAATGTGTAAAAATTATTCTGTCTGCTTAAGAGAACATGCAGAAAAAATTAGTCATTTGTTTTGGTTGCTAATGACTAATTTTCCATTCCAAGTAAATATGAGAGTAATTGGTGCTAATGAGGAGCAAGTCATATTGGTAGAAATGCGTTTACAAGGAAAGGAATTGTATTGTGGAAAGCATGAGTAGTTCTATTTTTGTCAAAAGTAATTGAAAAAGGATTTTAGTTGAAAGGAAACTAGTGAGGTCATATTTATTTCTTTGCCACCTAGCCTTATAAGACATAAATGTCTAAGGGTTACTTGTACCATAGTTATAAATTAAAAACTAAGACTTGAAGTGTATGAACATGGAAAGTAGATATTAAAACCGATTTCTCAATTAAATATCATTTCAAAATTGATTTCCTATTCTTAAACTCCATTCTATTCTCCTGTTATTTATTTATTTATTTTTATACTGTATTAGAGAGGATTGCTAAGACTTTAGAGAAGACATATGACTAGGTAAAGAGTCTAAGAGAGCGGCTTTGGTGGGCAAATGACGAAGAAAGGAATACCACCTAAGTATTCTTATAATGATTAGTTTACAAGATAAGACACCGTGGTGTGTGTTATTTTTGTTTGATATCAAATTGGTGGATGATACTAGAGCTTGGGATCAACTTTGAGTTAGAATGATGGAGACATAATTTAGAATCTTGATGGTTTTGGCTTAGTAGGAGTATGAAGACATTGAGGGTTAACTACTAGTGAACAATTTGATCACCTCGTATCGATTTTACAAAAAAATGGAGATAATGACGAGGATGTAACACGCAGAACTAAAATTTGGTAGCTCATTGGTTAATATGCGATCATTGTTGCCTTTAAGGTTATATAAGGAAAATTTTATGGTATGACAATTAGACTTATGTAATTTCATGGGTCAAAATGTTGACAATTAAGGGAATGTTAAGAAGATGAATGTAGTAGAGATGCATATGTTGATACAAATGTGTGAGAATACCTTGAGGTATAATATTAGGAATGTGGATTTTTTGAGAACATGGTTTTTGGGTGTCATGGTTTAATGATGTCAAATTTTGAAATGTTAACATGTAACAATAAGTCAATAACACCTATAACTTGTAATTCCATGAGTACTTTATTCATTATTAATCAATTTTAACCAAACTATTTAATGTGGATTTTAACTCCTTATTTAGTCAAGTTTTTAGAAAACCCACAATCTTGTAATAAAAATCCAATCTTGAAGAATTTCTTAAAGATTGAATATAAACGAACCAATATTTCTCCTCATAAGATTACTCCTGAAACTTATGATTTGATTTAACCCACTGGACGCTAATTATTTTGAAATTAAACTCTTAGCCTACTCCTAGACACTAAGTGTTTCATGTTCTAATCTTCAACCAATTCCTTGAATTGAAAACTAGCAAAGAACGTTTAAGCAAAATCTAAACAATGAACTTTTATTAAGCTGAATTTTGTGCATTTATTATGTGTTACAAAGCCATGAAAATCCACTATTTATAGAAAAAATTAACTGATTCTAAGCCTAATAGGACTAAGACAAGCCCCTAGCCTTTAGCTCCAAGCAACCTAAGTGGAATAGGAATACTAAACCTACTTAGATTAGGAAACTATCAAAACCGACCTACTTCGCAGTTTATGCGGTTTTGGTTTTAGCCGTTGTTGACCGACGAAATGAACTCCGATTCTTGTGAAACCACTTCCATTGGTTAGATGACATCTTGGAGTTTCCAAAAACATATTATAAGGCATAAGTTTTCCTTGAGCTTCAAGTCCTTATCGGCAGTTCCTTAGACTCCTACAAAATCTAACAACTCTTAGAAACATAAGGAAACATATAAATTAAAAGATATAATAATAAAATAAATCCTAAGCGCTTAAACCAAGAAATACCCTTTCAAATGAAAGGTAAAAACTTGCAAGCAAAATTCTAGAAGAAATTAAATAAAAACAATAAGTGATGCATTTCTTTCCTTGTTTGGGTAGCCTATATTGGAGTTATCTAGACCTTCTAAAATAGTATTAGACCCTTCCAAAGAATTTATTTCTTGATTCACATCACTATCTTATTTTTTAACCCACATTTAATTAAATAAACCTTTCTATCATATGTTTTTACCCACTTTTAATCAACCAAATTCCACAGGTTTATTTTCTTACTCACTTTTAATCAACCAAAACAAAAAGAGAAGGAAGTTGCACTAAATCAAAAGGTTAACCAATAAAAAGGAGTAAGGGTTGTACTATGTAATAGACTACTACTATTCGCAAGCAATTGTACGGAATAAGATTACTATAAGGAACTTTGAGTGTTTGATTGATTGACTAAGCAAACTAAGATACCAATAGCTTGAGGCTATTAATCTCACCAAGCAGCTTGAGGCTACTACTCTCCATACAAGTCACTTAATTTTCTGGATACTTACTACTAAGTTCTACTACGTTACTTATAGAATTAAGCTTAGAGAATACATGTGATATTTAGTTAAAATGGCAAAACCATATTTAGACATGAGCTTGTTGCTTGTTTTCCTTAGTTGCTTCTTAATTAGTTTTGTCCTCTTGTTCTTTGTTGTTGTTGCTGACTTCTTGACCATTGACTTTTGGGTTGTTTCCTTTGGACCTCCTGGTATAAACTTGTATGGGTTTAGGTCGGGTTATAGGGTGATCCATCACATTACCCGCTGGCTCAAGATTCACCTTGTCCTCATGGTGGAAGGCCGGAAATCGCTTAGCAATGGCCGCCCATCCTCCCATGTTGCCTCAAACCGTGGCATTCCATGCCACTTGATCAGCACCTTCAATAGCATCTTTTCCCCAATCTGCTTGTGACGAGTCTCTGGCAGCTCCTCGGGTTCCGCTACTTACTCTAATTCCGCCGTTAATTGGTCCGGAATAGAGGGATTGTCCCAAACTTCACCTACTGCTCTTTTCAATTAGAAATGTGGAACACGAGATGAATTTTGCTTGATGGGGGCAATTCCAGTTTGTATGTGACCTTTTCCAATCCTTTCTAGCATCGTAAAAGGACCATAATATCGCGGCGCTAGCTTTTCGAAGGGTCTTTTGGCTAGATAGCGTTGTCGGTAAGGTCTCAATTTTAAGTAAACCGCGTCCCCAACGAACTGCTCGTCCCTTCTCTTCATGTCGGCATATTTCATTGCAAGGCCTTGTTGATGTTAGCCTTCAATTCATCTAGGATCCAATCTCTTTCCTATAGCCACCCTTCTAAGCAATCTACCGGAGTTTGACCATTGCCCAACCGCCATAGTTTTGGTGGTTCTGTGCCGTACCCCACCTTAAAATGGGACATCTTTGTTGCTATGTGGGGAGAGATGTTGTACAAATATTCGGCCCATGGCAACCACCTAGTTCATTATTTTGGCCGACTTAGACACAAAACATCTCAAGTAAACTTCAAGACTTTTGTTAGTTTAACCGTCGGTTTGGGGATGGTACGATGTGCGTCGCATCAATTGTGTTCCCTATAAACGGAATAGCTCCTTCCAAAATAAGCTCATGAAGACTCGATCACGATCGGACACGACGCTGTTAGAAATCCGTGGAGTTTGACCACCTCTCGCACAAAACAGTCAGCTACTTTGAGTGCATTAAAGGGGTGTTTAAGCCCCACAAAATGTGCTTATTTGATCAATCTATCCACTACCACCAAGATCGAGTCCACCCCCTTTGACAACGGTAACCCTTCGATGAAATCCATCGAAATATCCTCCTAAATCGCTTCCGGGATCGAAAGTGGTTGTAACAACCCTATCGGACTTTGTTGGGACACCCTATTCCGTTGACATACCAAGCACTTGCGCACATACTTTCCCACTTGCTTTCTCATACCGGCCAGTCCGCCGCCAACCGGAGGTAAGCCTTGACCTCCCCGTCATGACCGCCGGTGGGGGAGTCATGATGCTCGATCAACAGAGTAGGAATAATTTTGGAGTCTGCAGGTACGACAATCAGACCTTTATAAAGCACTCTCTGACCTTCTAATGTGAACCCTTTAAATTGCTCCTCCCCTTTCATTAGGCCCTGTTTGATTCAGCCCAACCAAGGGTCCACTTGAATTTCCTTTTTTAAACCTTGCCAAACTAGAGCTCTCAATTGGACCGTGGGCTCTTCCTTGCGAGACAAGGCATCAACTACCTTGTTTGATGGGCCAGGCTTATATAGGACTTCAAAATCGAATCCAATTAGCTTCCTAACCCATTTATGATATTCCCCACCCATTTCACGTTGTTGCGTGATATAGCGTAGACTTTGTTGATCCGTGTGAATCACAAAATGTCTTCCAAGGAGGTAGTGCTTCCATCGAACCACGGCTAAACACATTGCCATCAACTCCTCATAGAGAAACTTTTCTCCGACTCGAACCCCCAAAAGTTTGCTATAAAAAGCTATGGGTCAATTTTCTTGCATCAAAACGACTCCTTACCCATAACACGATGCATCGGTTTCTACCACAAACTCCTTGTAGAAATCCGGCATGGCTTAGACCGGGCGGTAGCCATTGCAATTTGAGCCGTTGGAAGGCCTTAGTTGTTTCTTCGGTCCACCCAAAGCAATCTTTCTTTAACTGGGCCGTTAATGGGCTTGCAATTTGGGCATACTTGGACACAAACTTTCGGTAGTATCTTGTGAGCCCAAGGAAGCCTCTAAGCTCCCTCAAGTTTTGTGGGGTAGCCCATTCAAGGTTGGCCCGTTCCTTTCTTGATCCATGGCCACTCCATGTTGAGAAATGGACTAGTTGACGATTGTATGATTCCGGCATTCAACATTTCTCCTATCATCTTCTCAATCTCGTCTTTCTGAATTTCCCCGATACGGTCGGACGCTCACCGGATTACTACCATCTTTAAGCACTATGGCGTGTTCTCGTCCTCTACTAGGTGGCAATCCAGTAGGCATATTGAACACTTTATGGTATTGCGCCAATAGCCCACTCAAAAAGGATGGGATTTAGGCCTCTTCTTTTGCTGGCCCATTTCCTTCTTCTTTATCCAGTGTGCTTATTTCCACCAAAACACCACCCTTCTCCTTACATAAGCTACGCACCATAGCACCCAGTGAGATATGTGTCTTCTCCAAGGTTGGATTGCCGACCAAGGTCACCGGAGTTCCGGCGAGATGGAATTTCATAACATGAATGTGCAATTTGTTGCCACCGTCCCCCATTTCTTGAGCCACTGCACGCCAAAGATTAAATCGGCTCCACCCAAACACAAAGGCAGGGAATTCTCCACAACCACCAATCCTCCATCTAGCAGAGCACACACGTCACCATATCTCCATTGCCAAGAGCCCAAACTCACCCTCACCATTCACCATCAACCCGATTTCTTCCACGAGAGCGGTCGAAATAAAGTTGTGCGTGGCCCCCGGTCTATTTCAATGGCGGTCCCTTCTCTATCTGATTCCTCCCCTTCGAATTTCGTCCCCTGCACCGTCGCTGGACACCATTAACACACTAGGTTCTTTGCGCTTGCATCGGTGGCCGACACCCCATCTCTCATCAGAGCGAAAACAAAGACCTTTCGCTCGCTAATCTTGATATTTCGACTCAGTGAGTCGCCTTGTTCCACTAGTAGTTTGGCTGGTGGGAGTGTTGCTGGGTCAGCCCAAATTAACGAACCCTTGTGATTCCGGTTTGGGCCTGACACATTTGGAACCCCAGAAGTTTGGATCAGCCCAACTCCTACTCCCTTGGATGGTCCAGATCCGGTTGCAACAAATCCGGATCCAACCTCACTTCTCCAAAACCCGCTACCCCCTTTCCTCAATTGGCGGACCCGATTTCTTTCTTCAACTCGCCCGGCCAAATCCATTGCTTGCTCCAGCGTAGTTGAGCATAATAATCGGACTTCCGATTTAATATCCTCCCTGAAACCATTTATAAACTGCCCATTCAGAGACATCCTCCAACGGAGCTGCCAGTTCGATGAACTTCCAACGATAGTCCACCACTCCACCACGTTGGTGGTTTCCACTACTGTTCGTGGAGGGTACTAGCGTTAGCCGGTCGGAACTCGTGTAATACCCTTCTCTTGTGATCCGGCCAACTTAACAACGACCGCCTCTTGTTCTCCCATTGGTACCACTTCAACGCCGCGCCGCCATGGCGACCACGGCGGCCTCCAACTTCTCCTTCTCCGATAATTTATAGAATTCAAAGAACATCTCAGCTTTTACAATCCAATTATTGGGTCGGCTCTTTCGAACGCCGGCATCTTGAGCTTGTGGTGCTTCCACCTTCCGCCTCCGCCTTGATCTTCACGGTGCTCTTCGTTCCATTGGTCGGCTTCTTGGTTCCACCTCAGACTTGGGTTGCCCTGCAATCAAATCTCGAAGTTCTCGCTGAAACTTCAATTATTCGGCTTTCTCCAGTCTCCTTTCGGTTTCTTGTTGGGTACGAAAACGATCGATTCGGCTTTCAAGTTTTTGAACCGCCTCCTCCATGGTTTTCTTCATGGTTTCCTCTTGTGCCTGCAACCGCTCTTCAAAGGTGGCAAGCCTCGGCTGGCTGTTTGCACCATTTTTTTTAACGATGTACGGACGATGGTTTCAGTCACCAAGACCGCCCGCTCGCTCTGATACCAATTTGTAATAGACTACTACTATTCGCAAGCAATTGTACGGAATAAGATTACTAGAAGGAACTTTGAGTGTTTGATTGATTGACTAAGCAAACTAAGATAACAATAGCTTGAGGCTATTAATCTCACCAAGCAGCTTGAGGCTACTACTCTCCATACAAGTCACTCAATTTCTGGATACTTACTACTAAGTTCTACTACGTTACTTATAGAATTAAGCTTAGAGAATACATGTGATAATTAGTTAAAATTGCAAAACCATATTTAGACATAATAGGAGCTTGTTGCTTGTTTTCCTTAGTTGCTTCTTAATTAGTTTTGTCCTCTTGTTCTTTGTTATTGTTGCTGACTTCTTGACCATTGACTTTTGGGTTGTTTCCTTTGGACCTCCGGGCATAAACTTGTATGGGTTTAGGTCAGGTTATAGGGTGATCCATCACATATTACTTGTTCTAAATCTATTGATGATTGCTTTGACTTTTTGACATGAAAGTTTTTTAGAAAAATACTATTCCACTCATGGGAGTGTTTTTTCTTCTTGATAAATTATTATAATATAGTGGACACGATTGATTCAATGTTTTCATGTTTACTCAGCTATGATTTACACACTCAGCTGCAAAAAAAACTCAGCTTTCCACATATTCTCTTTATAGCTTTTGTATCTCTTGACGTGTTCTTACACCTTATTTGACAAGTTGCCAAAAATTTATGTCTTTCTGATCTTATTATTTTTTTTTAATTTGTATTCTTTTTGCCTTCTATCTCCCTGTTTGGGTGAGGGAAAATCTAATGTATCCAATTTAGCATTATTGTGTCGATATTTATTTATCGATCTTGTTTTGGTTATTTATGAACTTGCATAATTGGATAATAAATTAAAGTAAGAAGATTAAGATTGATTAAGTGGAAATACAGTTAGTTTAGGATAATTGATCAAGCATTCAAGTGGCCTGATTCATTCCCATGAGCTAAACAAATCTAATATGACTCGCTTGATGCTTTTTTCTTTTCCTACTCTCCTTTATAACATCTTTAGATTCTCATTTCTCTTTGACTGAATGACTATTTTCCTCATCATGATACTACGAGTATATATAATACACTACCTATAATGCTTCATCCCTTGGTAAAATTCATAACTTTACCGAGCACACATATTTCCACCTTGTCCTCAAGGTGAATAGGTTATCGGTGTTGATGTTCCGGCATCTATCGTGATGTGAAATCTTATCCTTATGCCAGTCTTTCTATTGCTTATCAAGCCCCTTACGGAGTCTTTTCAACCTCTTCTAACCTTAGTTTTAAAAATTGCGGTTTAGGCATGACTAGGCCTAGTTCTGCGAGGCTTAAAACCAACCAAAGGCGAGTGCCTATGTGCGCTTTTTTCTAGGCTGATTTCTGTGCTTTTGTCCCTTATGTTGTTTAAGGTAATTGATAAACAGTTTTTATTTAATACATACATCCTTTGTAGATTCACTAGAAATTTCAGAGGCTACCTCTCATATTTTTTCACCAGTTTTTGTTGTTTTTATTACTTTATTTCACATCAGGAAGAAGCATGAAAAATGGTTTACCATTTAAAAGTCAGTGCTTGATTTCTCGTACCTTGTGAATTGGGGAAATACTACATGCCATTTAATGCTTGAATGTTCTTTGAATTTCAATTGTAATAAATGCATTTTTTTTGTGTAGGAAACCAATGCTATGGAGGACAGTGCCAAAACTTGTATATAATTATCCTGGCAGTTGTTAGCGGTGGGATTCTCTGTGCCACATTAGCTGTTGTGGTTTGGTTACTTGTCTACAGACGAAGTAAAAGGCGTAGAAGGTCCCGTAGGCAATCAAATCTAGTAGCATCATCTTTAGTGCCTCCATCCTGGAAGGTCTTCACAATTGAGGAGCTGAAGTCTATTTCAAAGAATTTCAGTGAGGGAAATCGTCTTCCTGGAGAATCCAAAACAGGAGGTACATATAGTGGCATTTTAGCTGATGGTTCAAAGGTGGCGATTAAGAAATTGAAAAGGTCCAATTACCAAAGGAAAAAAGAGTTCTATTCTGAAGTTGGGAGAGTTGCACGGCTTCATCACCCAAGTCTGGTATCTGTGAAAGGGTGCTGTTATAACCATGGTCATCGCTATATTGTTTATGAATTCATAGTGAATGGTCCTCTTGATAGGTGGCTGCACCATGTTCCAAGAGGTGGTAGATGCTTAAGCTGGCCCATGCGAATGAAAATTGCCACAACCCTTGCCCAAGGAATCGCGTGAGTTCATATTCACTTTACTTGCTTTGATGCCATTATACAATTATAAATGATCCTCTTTTCTGATTATTTTATGTATTTAATACATAATATGAATGTCATGCTAGACTTTATGAAAACATTGGTTCAGTGGAAGGTTACACCGATCTGTAAATACTTCTGGTAGACTGATCAAGCATGTCAATGTATAAATGTTTTCTCCGTCTATGCTTTCTTAATCAGTAAGTGTAACCTACAACGAGATCAGCAAGACAAACAATGATTAATCTAAACCTTCCTCCTTCCCATTGACACCCCACTGTTGGGGGGGAGGGGGGGCACCTAGAAGAAAGGAAAAAGAAAAGAGAAAGGGAACACATGCATAAAAGCATAGCCTGAGACAATTTTTTTTTGAGGCTTTGTTACTGTGATTCAAATACATCAAGTATGGTAGGAAAGTGTATTCTTTGTGGAAATTCTTGGGGTGTACTCGCACACAAACCCTTCCAAGGTCCCTCCTCAATGTATGAGTCATTATATTGTGGGTGACTAATTCTCATATGAGCGTAGGTAATATATGTTTGAGTCCTAGTTGCTACCAACCTACCATGTACCAGCCTGCCCAAAAAAAAAATGAAAAAAAAGGAGAAAAAAAATGATCAGACCTGTTCTATCTCCTTGCAGCTTATTTCTTCTTTTTTTTTTTTTCGAGATAGGGTTTTTAATTTGGCCTTGTGAATTTGTGGTGTTGAAGACGTGTTATTTATATCTCAATTTTGCTTTCTCTTCTTTTTGGCTGAACCTCTAAGTCAAGTAGCCACTAACTAGGTTCTACATTTACCTGTTGTCTCCACTTTCCATATGCTTATAAGATCTACTTCGTCTTTTACATATCTATGCTTTGGCTCTCTACTAGATTTTTTTTTTTTTTAATTATTTTTATTTTTGCTATGTATTAGGTTTTTGTTCTGAGTATTTTCATTTTGATGATTTAGTGGCTTTGGTTTTTAATTTTTCATGGCTAAATTAAGTTCCTTTATCAACTAAGAGAATGATAATTATACTTTGAATAGTTTAAAAAAAAAAGAGAAAGAACATAGTTTGGATGCATGACACCTAAACCACCACTGCTGGTCCACGTATGCATGCAAGAAAAAGGCACCAAATTCTGTTAGCTCCACTGGAGGGCAATTCAGTAAAGCAACACTAGTTTGTTAGGCTGTTATTTCTGTGTGGAAAAGAATGTTTATCACGCTGGCAACAGTTTATCTAGTGAGCCTTACTGGCTTTTGTTTAGATTATATTTGGTAGTTTCGTTCATTTACTGATTATCCGGGTTGTTCTTTTGTGGGATCTTGTGGCTGAGACTTGTCATAGATGTTAGACTGTGTCCATGCCTTGTAAAGTCACAGTAACTTTATAGTATGTATCTTATGTAAACAGATGTAATTAACGTGCAATTATATTTGTTTCCCTGCAAAAAATCTATGGAATTTTTAATCTTATTTTTGTTACTGAAACTGATTATTCTACTTATTCCAATAATAGATTTTTACATGACAAGGTCAAGCCTCAAGTTGTGCATCGAGACATTCGTGCAAGCAATGTGCTTCTCGATGAAGAATTTGGAGCACATCTAATGGGAGTTGGACTCGCAAAGTTTGTGCCATGGGAAGTTATGCAAGAGAGGACTGTAATGGCTGGCGGAACTCATGGGTACCTAGCTCCAGAGTTTGTCTATAGAAATGAGCTTACAACAAAAAGTGATGTGTATAGCTTTGGAGTCTTGCTACTTGAGATTGTGAGCGGGCGTCGTCTTGCCCAGGCTGTTGATTCAGGTAGTTTGCAGAGTATATTCGAGTGGGCTACACCCCTTGTACAGTCCCATCGCTATCCAGACTTGCTAGATCCAGTCATATCAAGCTCATCCTCTGAGATTCCAGAGGCCGGAGCAATTCAGAAAGTAGTTGACCTTGTCTATTCTTGCACTCAAAACTTACCTTCAATGAGGCCCCGAATGTCTCATGTTGTGCATCAGCTTCAGCAGTTGGTTCCATCAGCTCCTGCTGTAGAGCAAGCTCAACTTTAGAATCAGATAAATCAGAGTATGTCTGGCCTGATCCACATATCCTAGCAATGATGCATTAAACTGATTTGCTTTTAATCGGAAGGTTATCCCTGACTATGAAACTATTGCAATACAGCATCATTATTTATATGAAGCAGCAGTTTTATTGACATTGATAATCTTCGGAAACCTCATATCCTCTTTAAAATATGTACCTGATCTATGCAGGTTTCCCATAATCACAATGTTAACACTTCTAGTTGTCCCAAACTATGATCATGAATGTGTGTTAACATGTCAAACATAATATGTCGATGTTAACATTTCTACAAGTCCCATAAAAAAATGATCAAAGTTTTATAGAGGAAGTGTTGATGAAATATTGGTTCAATTTGAACTTAAACAACAATTTAATTAATTTTTTAAGCTATGGTTATGGAGATTGAAAGACCTTCAGTGTAAAAATATACTTGCACTCATCAAACCTGCCTACTCAGAATGTTTATCTTTTACTTTGTTTTATATTGATGACACTAGATGGGACTATATATTGTTTTTCGGTTTTTCTAATGTGTGTCAATGGACACACATTAAGAAAACAGATTCCCTATAGTTATTTGATGACGAGAAATATCAATAGGCTAAAAAAAAATTAGGTTTAACAAATCATTTAAAAATTTATAAAATCTTCTTTATTTCTTCTATTACAAAATTTACCACATCTTTCCAAATATTTAATGAATATATTTTAGTCAATTTCCTAATACAACAATAAAATAAAATGATAATTGCTAGCCTTACTAATATAATATATACTACTCCATACAATCATTCCTTTTTTTTTTATAATTTTTTTTAATGAAAATGGCAAACTTTTACGATTTTTTTTCCATTTTTTTTTCTTAATGAAACTACCAAACTTCATAAAAACGTCATTTTTTAGATAAAATAAATTAAGTTGAAATAAAAAATAATATGCATTTTAATTTTTTAAAAATATGGAATTAATTTACAACATAAAATGAACACTCAATCCCCTGAAGTCCATTTTCTACTAGTGCACTATTTAAATTAGGAATGATTGTTTGCGGTAGTACGTATATTACAATTTTATTTTATTTATTTATTTTTAATTTTAATTTTTTAGAGCTAAAAGGACAGGAGATGAGAATCGATCCAAAAATCTCATGAGATCGGGTGGAAAACTCAACCAATTGAGCTTTCCCACATACGTAGTATTACAATAGTATGTGGCTAAAAATTATTTTATTTTAATTGTTGTAATAGGAAATTGACTTACATATATTAAATAAAATATTTGGAAATATGTGGTAAATCTTGTAATAGAGGAAATCATGAAGATTTTACTATAACAATATAATCCTATGCAAGCTGTGCCCCCTCTTTTTGGAAGTTACACAGTGTAACCTTTAAGTTACAATTATGTATTAATAGTGACCTTGGCGTTATCCTACCGTTAACGGTCACCGTTAGTGAGGCCCACTATACACCTTTTCTCGATTTACATGCTAAAAAATGTTCCTTTAAAGATTTTAGGGGTCATTTTGTTCCTAAGGATCCAAATTCAGCTTGGATTTGGTGGAAAAATATACGTAAAAGCCGTATTTTGTGAATTCGAATTTCTATAGTTAAAAGAATAATGACAAAATATCTATTATGTTATTTTTTAGCCAAATCCGAGCTCAATTTGATTCCCTAAGGCACAAAATGACCCTTTAAACCTTAAATGAAACATTATTCAGCACATAAAGCAAGAAAAATATTAATAGGTGTAAAGTGAACCTTATTAACGGTGATTGTTAACGGTAGGATAACAACTTGATCACTATTGGTACATAATTGTAACTTGAAGGTTACAGTTGTAACTTTTAAAAGGAGGGGATACAACTTGAAAAAGTCAATACCAAAGGGTTATATTTTAGAATTCCCCAATTATTTTCCAATTGATTTTTAAACTACCTTTCTTTTTTAAAAAAATCTATAGATATTCCTCGTCATCAAATAGTTGTTGCCTTGTTGGTAATTCTTTCAAAAAAAAATTAAAAAAAGATTGTAGGTAATTTATTTTCTTAATGTGTGTCAATGGACACATGTTAGAAAAACCGATTAACGAATTAGCCTTATTTTTAGTGACATAAGATAGATTTAATAGGAGTATGTAAACATGCGATAATTTAAATGAGACTTAAACTAGCACTCGTAAAAAAAAAAGTACATGGTGCTTCCGCCTGCGTAGGTGCTTAAAAAAAATAAATGTCCACCTCTTCAGTCTTTACTCTTTACCACTGAAAAATAATGATATCCTGATCAGATTTAGGCCCTAAGTTAATGGACCACGTAAGATTAAAAAAATTAAATAAAAAAAAAAAAAAACACTACAAAAATAGAAAAGAAATAGCGGACGTCGATGAAGCGAAGTTGTCAAATTGCTTATCTCCACTTTAAAAATTACTCACGTCCTACTACACTACCAAACAAATCAGCTCGCACATCACACACACCCATTTCTGGAGGCCACTAGTTTACAATCTCGTCCCAGTTTATCAAATGATTTATTAAACCACATTTTTGCAAATAAACCAATATTTTTGTATCCCATTTAATAAAAAATTATTGTTTTATTTACGAAAATAAATAAGTATGCTACGATAACTCGATAAGCTTGTATTTTATGGTAGTTTATAATCTAATCTTAGGTACCATTCTGAATCCTAACCCTGTAACTCATCGACTGCAGAGGGTTTCTTCTTTCCGCCGCCCTTTAACCCCTCTTCTGTCGCTGTTTTACGCCGCAGGCTCATCCATGGCTTCTTCTCTCTGTTTCTTGCCCTTCTTGCTATTTGCTTTATCCTCTGCTTCTGCTTCTACTTCTGCTACTGCTGATTTATTACATGGTAAATTTATTATCTTGTTTTATTATATGGTCTTCATTATTTGATCTACGTTTACGTTTATTCAAATGTATGGATGTCTTACTTTATATACCTCGGTAATATCAATCAAGGACGTATTTTTATTTATGTATGCTTATTATCAGTGATGGGTTTTATCAACAATCATATACAAGTATAACCTAATGACGCTGATGATTGTTCCTTTACATAAAAATCTATTGTTATTTTAAGTGATGTAGCCGAGATTTGTTTGTACAACCCCGCAAGACTTTATCCAACTAAGCTTGTTGATCATCCTCTCACTCACATTTATTTGATTTAATCTTATTGTATTAGAAAACGGATATAAAATAAAAAAGTTTCTGGTTGATAGATTGAATAATGATCTACAGTTCAAGGTTTAAAGAATGCAGATGGGTATTTTGAAGTCGACGGAGGTTTTTTTAATAAAGGAAAAATATCTGATTCCTGTAAAAAAAAAATGATGCTTCAAAAAGCCATTTGTATGGCTGATTTTAAATAATTTAGTGATTTTGGTTTTGCAAGTTTGTGCTTGTTTGAGTATGACAGTCTTTCTCGTGCACTTTCGATTTAGGAGGTGAAGAAATTGAAGCTGTGGGGCATGATTTATACCGGGATTATTTGAGGGATGAAGCGGCCTCAAGATTAAATGAGCTGGGGAAGGTATATATGTTTAAACTTAACTGTCATGATCAATGGATTAGAGTATTATTTGTGCTATGAATTTGTGCTATATCATGAAATTAAACCAGTTTTTGGAAATTCTTTAGTTTTGATGCGAGTTTTATATGATTTGTTAATTGGGTGGTTTGATTGACTCTTCTTTCTACGCTAACTTGATTTATTGTCTTGCATCAACATAGCTGTCTGTTTCATGTATATGTTTTATAATATGAATTATGTAATGGAGTTGATTCATGTAGACCATATCAAACTATTCCCTTGAGAATGATGTGTACTTTTATAACATTGATACAAAAGAATGATACATCATACATATTTATGTTAGTTAATCAAGATAAGCCATAATATCAATTATAACATCCATTGCATTTACAAATTGATTTCTATCATATCAAATATAATGTGGTGTCGATGCATCAATTAGAACAATAGGCTAATGCAGCTGAAGGAGTTGATCAAGATGTTAGAATATACAGTCTTTTGTACCAGTAAAAATTTTCTTAATTTGATTTGCAGTCATATCGCATGATAGGTTGAGTACATTAGTATTTGAGAAATGAGCTTAAATTTTAAAATTTATGCGGCAGGTTAGTGATGTGAATGGCTATCTTGAGAGGACTTTCTTGAGCCCTGCGTCTGTGAGGGCTGCAAACATTATCAGTCAATGGATGGAAGATGCGGGTTTGAGAACGTGAGGCATCTTCTTGTGCTTGTTAATGTATACTCTTTTTTAAGGTTATGCTTCAATAACTTCTGCTTGCAGGTGGGTAGACATTATGGGTAATGTGCATGGTCGGGTAGATGGGATGAATGCAAGTGCTCCTGCTCTATTGATGGGATCTCATTTGGTAATTTTCCCTCGGTTCTCTTAACCTCTCCATGCATTTTTTTTGGATAATTTACTGATGGAATTTGTGTGGGTCTTACCTCAATGAAGGATACTGTAGTCGATGCTGGAAAGTTTGATGGTGCGCTAGGTATTGTATCTACAATATCAGCCCTGAAGGTTTTGAAGGTGACCGAGAAGCTAGAAAACTTAAGGAACCCAGTTGAGGTATTTGAAAGTACTATTTTCCTTTTTTCTCCCTGCATCTTGCTAAAATTAAAAAAAATAATATAATAATAATAATTATAATTATAACAGCTTGAAGCCAGTAGAACTACAATTGTTGATGAGTTTTTTCCATGTTATTCACCCTATATGTCCTCCACATGTCTGAGAATGAGATTGTGATAGCATATACTCATAGCTGCATCATAAAAGTTCGAGGGTTAATGGTTTTATTATTTGCCTAATTGCCTTTGTTCCGTCTTGCTCTCTTAAATCCTGACAGGAACTGAAGTAGATTTATACATAGATAATCAACTTTCATTCATGGCCTGAGAATCAGTGCATGTGTCTAGACTAAACTAATAGCTTGCATAGTTGCATGTATCAACTAGAGTGTCACACAATACAACTGCACACCACTGCACACCACTGTTATTCTTGAGATCTATAGGACATAAATTTGTTACCATCTTAAAAATGCTTTTGCGCTTGGCAAAAATACATTGGAGTTGTTATTTTACAAAGTTGTTTGATCACCTAAAGTTGCTGAATATTCAACATGCTCAATTTTTGGCTTTGTACATAGCTGAGAGAAATAGACCTCTCCTCTTTTACAGGTCCCAAATATATCCCTGTCATACACTAATAGTCAACTTACAAAACCTCATTTGTGTCACTCCAAGGTGCTTAGTCTGGCACAAAATCACTATTCCTCAATGACAACCCTAATGATGGGAATGTTAAAATAGAGCCCAAAGTTTGATTCATTTATTACTCAGGTTTTGTGGATATGTATGTCCAAGTATTAGGTGGTTTGATCAGGCTCTTGGCATGCAAGGATTTTACTCCTCCTGTCTTTATAGTGGATTTTAAACTTGAAACAATTCTTGTTTTTTATTGCAAGATCCCTTGTGCATCACCTAAAGTAATTGCTGTTCATAATGTTTAGGTGATTGCATTTAGTGATGAAGAAGGTGTGAGATTCCAGTCAACCTTCCTGGGGAGTGCTGCCATTGCAGGCATCTTACCGGCTTCCACATTGAACATATCAGACAAGAGGTTTGAATCTACTACCTTTCTGTTTATCCTAATTATTTATAATTTCTTATAATTTGTTCCCCCTTGCACAATGATCAGTGGGATAACTTTACAAGAGGTCCTTAACAAAAATGCTGTTGGGGTAACAGAGGACAAATTTATCCAGCTCAAGTATCAGCCAGAGTCTGTGTTAGGTTATGTTGAGGTATATAAGTTGTAAACTCCAAAAATTACATGCAATAATGTTTTTACTAACATGAGCTTTTAGGTCATTTGACAGCCTTTGACGTGTTTTGGGCTTAATCTTGCAGGTTCACATTGAACAGGGACCAGTTTTAGAATCAGCCGGTATTCCTCTTGGGGTAGTCAAAGGCATAGCTGGGCAGACACGGTTAAAGGTGAGCGTCCCTTGCTGCTTGCTTTCATCTGCAAACTCTCTAATTCATGTAAATAAAAGAAATGTAAACTGTCCGCAACCACACCAAAGACTTTTCGTTAAAATATCTTACAGGATAGCTAGTACCAAAGTTGTCACATGAACCAGATGGGCCTCAGCTCCTGTGTCCTGGCCAACCTGGCATTCCTCCGGACAACTTTTGAGGGAAAAGGTGGAACATTCATCTCTACTCTTTTAAGTAGCTATGCTTCGAAGTCAGTTTGGCTCAAGCTAAGTGATAGACAAATACAGGCACATAATAAAAGCTAATTGATAATTTCTCTTTGGATTAGTTAATTAAAATGGATGAACAAAAATACGTTTTTTATACTTCATCGGTTGCAAATATAGTTCTGGTGATGGTGTCAATGTTGACAAGGTAGGCCCTATGTGTTTCAAGGTTGGTTGATGAAGAAATAGTGTGTATTTTGTTTACATATCAACCTTGATAATCATCTTCTCCAGCCTAGTGGTTAAAGATCTAAGAATGAAGAATTAGAGACCTAACATGGGCTCTGCTTTGACACATCTAGTCAACAATGTCTTATCATTGGCTCATTGCCCACATGCTTTGTGGTGTGAACGCACCCCAGACACTAAGGGTGTGATGCATGTGACGTTCATGAGAAGCAAACGCAACCTTGAAGTGCATTTGGTGTAATTTTCTTTAGGTACACCAGGACTATGATAGATTTTGTGTGCCACGTGTACTTGGTGTAAATAAATCATCTTATATATGATGCAGTTCTATTACCCTCTTCCTGTATTTTATTATTTTAATTTTCATTATCTTGTCTTCATGATCTCCATCCTTAGGTGAAAAAAAACCCTTGTTTTTGCTTAACTTTTGTTTTGAGTTTTCTTATATAATGAACTCACATATTTTTGCTAGGCTTAACTTGTTCTATTTTATTTTATTATTTATTTTTAGTTCTAAATGTGTTAAAATAAGTTGAGAACTGAGCCTATATAACAGCCAGTCCTGGAATCATTATGGCTTTCATTCTGGCGGCTTCCAACAACTGGAATATGATTCTAGGACTATGCTTAGAAGTAAAGTAGTGACGCTTTACCTAGATTATCTCACATGAAGTTCACTGCAGGTAACAGTCTCAGGTTCACAAGGACATGCAGGAACTGTCCCCATGTCTATGCGGCGTGATCCTTTGGCAGCCGCTGCTGAATTGATTGTATTACTTGAAAGCCTTTGTAAACAACCTCAAAAATTTTTGTCCTATGATGATGATTGCAGTACAGTTGAATCTCTTTTTGGTTCACTTGTTTGTACCGTAGGAGAAATATCACTGTGGCCAAGTGCCAGTAATGTTATCCCAGGACAGGCAGGATCTTTACCTTATGCTTTTGCTTAACTTAGTAGGTCTTCAAATTAGTTATTGGACCAAATGCTAAGGCATGTTTGATTTCCCTTTTTGCAGGTGACATTTACTGTAGATTTACGTGCTATGGATGATGCTGGCCGTGAGGCTGTATTGTATGAATTATCAGCTAGAATGTACAATATTTGTGATAAAAGATCAGTTTCATGTGTAATTGAGCGCAAGGTACTTTTGTTCATTATTTTTTATTTAATTTTTTTTTTCCAAGTCACTCTTCTTTTTGCTGATTATAATTTAAATCACTTGTTTGATATTTTCAGCATGACGCCAATGCTGTCAAATGCGACAATGAATTGAGTTTGCAGCTCCAATCGGCTGCCCTCACTGCATTCAGGAAAATGGCAGGTAATGTTGATGTTGATGTGCCCAAATTAATGAGTGGGGCAGGGCATGATGCCATGGCCATGGCTCATCTAACTAAGGTCAGTTTTTGCACCCCTTATGTTATATATGTTGATTATTTAGAAGTAATATAGTATACAACTCTAATGGAGATTGTGCAAACAGATGGGCATGCTCTTTGTTCGTTGTCGTGGAGGTATCAGTCATTCACCTGCAGAGCATGTATTAGATGATGATGTTTGGGCTGCTGGTTTGGCAGTCTTAGCATTTTTAGAGAATCATGTGTAGGATTCATGGCGATGTTTCAAACAGCACATCAAATGTACATAAGGTACCTGTCTGTTGTACATATATAGACAGTAGCAGTTCATTCATATTAGTTACAATGCCTATTAAGCGCTTTTGTTTGTTGTACCCTCTTGATCTGTTAAAATGTAATAATAAATGTCATTTTCATTTGTAAATGGCTTCAGTAGTTTTGTGCAAAATTTTATCTTGTTTTATTTCGTTTATTATTTCTGAACATATTTAATTTTGTAACTAATAAAATGACGAAATTTTCATGTTTGGAATGTGAATATTAATGCTATCTAAAGACATTTCATTTGATAATATTTTATTTTTTTTGACTAGATTTGTCTCGTGTGATGCATGATTTGAACAAATAAACATTCTAATTTTTTTTTAATCAAAAATTTAAAATAATAAAAATCCTAAACAAATAACACATCAAATTTTTTTTAAGAAAAAATATCTCATAGAAAAATTGTATGATGAAAGGGGTACCTACAGAAGAAAAATTAAATTATTATTGTTAGAGAGAATATACAATTTTTTGAAAATTGGTACAAATAATAATATTGCTAACCTGAATTTTAATAAAAAAAAAATTAAAAAAAAATTAATGGCATTATTTATAGTTTTGGAGGGAAAGTTTTTAATGACAACACGACATGTGTCTACTTTTAGGATATGATGATGTCAGCGGTAGCTATTTTAATATTAGTTATAGATTAATGTACACTTGAAAGTGTGCGGATTAAAATGAGAAGAATAAATGGATAGGAGTGAATAACGAAAATATAAAACAAACGAATAGAAGTGGGTAACAAAAATAACAAACGAATAGGAGTGGGTAACAAAAATATAAAAACATATTAGTAACAATAAATTTTTGGTCTTTGACAATGGTCTTCGGTTTGAGACGCCTACCCTTAAAAATTGGTTGGGAGACCAAGGGATATCTCACTGTTTTGCGTCAGTCGGCCGTCTCCAAGCAAATAGCCAAGTTGAAGCCTTCAACAAGCTAATCTCAGACGACATTAAAAAGAAAAATTGAAAATGCTGGCGGTCTATGGGCGGATGAGTTACCTCATGTCCTTTGGGCCATTAGAACAACAGCAAAAGGGGCAACCGGTGAAACCCCATTTCTCATGGCATACGGCGCAAAAGCCGTCTTGCCCATTGAACACTATGAGCTGACTCTTCGAGTCATGCTGTATGACGAAGAGACAAATTGGGAGGCCATGCGGCTAGCATTGGACTTACTCCCGGAGCGCAGGGGCAATGCCGCCTTGCGTCATGAGATTTATCGTCTGCAAATGACAAGAGCCTACAACAAAAGAGTACACAAGCGGCTCTTGAAAGTAGGGGACTTTGTGTTACGAAAATTGGAGGCAACCGGTAGGGCCAATGAGCAAGGAAAGTTGACTCCCAATTGGGAAGGCCTCTACCGGATTTATGAAGAAGTGAGAGGTGGCACCTACCGCCTGAAACTCCAGAAGGCAGACAGCTAGCCAGAACTTGGAATGTAGATAACTTAAAAAAGTACTACTTCTAAGACTTATAAATTTTTTGTAAATAAAAAGCCCATCAAAAAAAGTTGCTTTTTATTTTCAACTCTGTTTATTTATTCCCCTAACTATATACACAAATGGGAATACCGTCTGTGCAATGTGCAGACGCCCTTATTGATTAGGGGATTTTTTACCCCGCCACGTGGACCAATCAGAGTCTTCCACGTGTCACCTAGGGAAGAGTCCAAAGTGGACCAATCAGGGCACAACACATGGCATACGGATATCCAACTAGGAAAGGCGTCCTTCAACGGCCCAAACTCCTAGGTAGCCCAGTTAGCCCTAGGTTTCCATAACCTAGGACTGGGCACGCACTTTGAGATCCTATAAACGGGAGTTGTTTCCGCCACGGAAACACATTAAAAAATGTGGACAAAACAGAGAAATCATTAATTATTCTCCACTGAGAGAGCACTCTTGATCTCGAAATCCGAGAGCATACTTTACTTTCCGCACTTTACATCTTCCGAACACGTTCTTACTTGATCGTCGGAGACGGAACTCCACCCATCCGGAGTCTCCGTTGTTTTGCAGGTACAGGCGCGCGGAGTCTAGTCTTGGAATTGTAACTCTCCCGAGGGACACAGAAAACCCCGAAACATTTGGCGCCGTCTGTGGGGAGAGTACTTCTAAGATGACTTCACATCAGTTTGTACCGCCTCTTAATGAGAAACGGCCTATGGCCGACGCACAGGTATATGGACCAAGACATTGATGACGACTTTGAGGTCGATACGTATGTGGCCCATGACAGGTCACTCAGAACAAAACGCACTCGTCCCACGGAAAGAAGGGAACGGGGCAACGATCAAGCAGGTCCAAGCCAACCATCTAAACAGCCGACTGGACCACCCCAGGCGGTAGAAGGCACAACCCCAATCACCAGAGACGAACTCATGAGATTCATGACAAGTTTCAAGGGGGAGATAAAGGACCTAATAGATAAATGGACGGCTAGCTCTAACAAGGAGCATTCGTCCAAGAAGCCTTCCCATTCTAGGAGGAACGAGCTGATCAAGGACCGAGAGCCCACTCCGCATCCTAGATAAAAGAAGGGACAGTGGCCCCTAATCGATTTCACCAAACTCCGATTCCTTGAGACAAGGAAGAGGAAGGCCATCTGGCATATTCAGCCGGATGGCTCAAAGAAAACTTATTCTGATGCCCGGATGTTAATCCAGTAAAAGAAGAATCAACAAGCATCTGAATCGGCTTTAATGTCGAATCTACAAGACAGCTTTTAGAATACCTCAATGAGGTATTCTCAATCCAACCGAGAGAGTTCGTCAGGTGGCATGTCCGTTCACACTGGCCCTCAGATGATCCATTCGGCCTCGTATGTGCCTCAGCAGCCATACATGCCGTATGGACAACCATACATGCAGCCGACCCTCTTTGGGGGGGGGGGCAGGCGGCACAAAACGTCCAACCTTTGGACTGGCACCTCCGTCTGCTAAAACTTGGAGAACAACCTTCTGCGTTATCCAAGGAAATAACCGAGGCTACATAGCCGTTCAAGGTTAACAATGTTCTGGTGGGTACCTATGATGGTACCACCAACCCAGAATATCACCTTATGGCGTACACCAACCTCATGTATTTACAAGGGTTGGATGATGCCGCATGGTGCCGATGCATCCCGTCCACATTGAAGGGCGTCGCCCAATAATGGTTCAGCAACTTGCCAGCCGGATGCATCAACAGCTTCAAGACGCTTGCGTACTTGTTTGCTTCCAACTTCTCTATGAACATCCCTGCTAAGAAAACAAGTCTTGACTTGGGTGCAATTCAACAGGGAGATAGAGAAGGGCTACGGTCATATATCAGGTGGTTCAATCTGATGAGAATTCAGATTCAAGGGTTGTCTGATGGAGTGGCCTATACAAACTTCTTCAAAGGTTTGAAGGACGGGTCGTCCTTTAAGTTTGACCTCGTTAGAAAGAGGGTTGCTACCCTCTAAGAAGCGCTGATGGAGGCGGACGCTTATATGCAGGCGACCAAACTCTGCAACATCAGTAAGCAGTCGGACTCCAAGAAGTCTGACAAAAGAGAAATTCGGCCATCACAGCCGGCTAAAAAAGAAGAAAATGAAAAGAGGAAAGAGATATGGGCAGCCGACAACTCTGAGCAGCCGTCCCAGAAGAAAAAGAAGGATTCTAAACCGTACATCTTAAAGTACGAGTTTAATATAGACTGTTACTCCATCCTCATGGAAATCAAAGACCGGGTGACCATTGACAAGATTGCTGCTATGAAAGGTTCCGCCAAAAACCAGAACAAAAATAAGTATTGCCACTTCCATGAGGACATTGGCCATGACACCAACGACTGCTTTAGTCTCTAGCGGCTGTTGGACCGCCTGGTTGATGAAGGGGTCCTTAAGTCGTATATTCTGAAGTCTAAGGTTACCCTGCAAACTAACCCTGGGCAGCCGTCCAAAAAGAAGTCCTAATTTGCTTATAGTTCGGACACTGATGAAGAGCCGATTTATACAATAGTAGGCGGCTTTGCTGGAGGAGGCCCAACCATCCGGGGTACCAAGGATACATCAGGCGGCTGGATGTTAACTTAGTTGACGAGGGGCAGGTGTCTAAGGACACTTTCCCTGAAGTTATCATCACTGAGAAAGATATAGGCAAGGTCAGGAGGCCGCATGATGACCCTATTGTCATCGAATGCAAAGTGGACAACCAAAAGGTAGGCCGAATTCTCATCGACACTGGCAGTTCGTCTGATCTCATCAGCCATAAGTGCTTGGCAAAGCTCAAGTACAAGCCTAAGAGCATGAACAAGGTATCTCACCCCTTAGTTGGTTTTAGGGGTGGAGTTGTGCATCCGGTAGGCCGGATTGACCTACCCATTCGGCTAGGGGAAAAGGGAGAGGGATGCCACTTGGTGGTTCAGTTCTTGGTTGTTGAAGAACTGATCACCTATAACTTGATATTGGGTCGTCCTACTCTAAATGAGTCCAAGGCTTTCATCATTCCTTCCCTTATGCTTTTGAAGTTTGAGAGGGATGATGGATCTGTTAGCTCCCTAAGAGGAGACCAGAAGACGGCTAGAGAGTGTTACCTCTCAGACGTCAAGCCCATTGTGGTCGCATCCAGCTATAGTGAGGAAACAATAGACCTTGATGAAATCAAGGAAGCCGCGCCTGCTCCAACAGCAGCCGACAAAAAGAGAAAGGCCGACCAGTTGGTAGCCGTGAAAAAAGAAAAGCAATAGCAATCACTGGCCGGAGAACGGCCGGATGAACTCCGTCCCCAGCCGGCTGGTGAACACATTGATATCACTCTGGATGACACACATCCAGAACGTACTGTGAAGGTGGGGATGGTTGCTTTTGCTAAATTGGGTGTAGATTTGCACAATTTGTTGAAAGAGTTCAAAGACATTTTCGCCTTTAAAGTGGATGAGATGTCAGACATCAGCTCGGATCTAGTCGTCCACAAGCTTGTTGTGGATCCCAAAAAGAAGTCGGTTAGGCAAAAGAAAAGGAACCATGGCAAAGAAAGAAGTCAGGCGGCAGCCGCCGAGGTCAAAAAGCTGCTAGACGTTGGGTTCATTCGGCAATGTTACTTCCTATATTGGTTTTCCAATGTTGTACTTGTCAAAAAGCCGAATGGTATCTGGCGCATGTGTGTTTG